ACGCGCTGCGCCTCCAGAGGTTGCCGAGTCTTCCCCTGCAAAGCTATGTTCTTCCGATGGGGGGGGTGCCCCCGCGGCTAAGGCGCCGCCGCCGGTTGCCGCTTCAAGTGGATATCGCGAGGCGGAGCCTCTATCCGTGGAACGAACCCCGGGTGTCCAAGACGCTCCAGGGTCCCTTGAGGCCAGCCCAGATCTTACCCAACTCAATGACCTTCCGTATCAAGCGGACCCTGAGCTCATTCCCACTGAGGAAGAGCATTGCCGATCTGGCGCAGCCTCTGCCAACTTCTTCTGCCGAGAAAGGCTGCCACCCGCCCCTGATAGGCGACGGCGCCAACCGACGGATGACCCGCCCCAAGAGGACGACCAGGAGATTAATAACGGGCACGCTGCTTATTTTATGGGCAAAGGGCTCTATATTTCGCCGGGCGAACGCATGCGAGTCATTCAGCGCGCGCCCCCTGATCTAAGGCAGAGGGTACGAGAGGCCCACATGACTGGTCCTGTCCCCCCGCGGGTGGAGGCCATGCGCAATGAGTCAAATAGTACGCTCAGATACATTGCAGAATTCGTTGAAGATCCCATATTTGTATTATTGAGCGAGCTTTCTATAGAAGAGGGCACTTTCGATTTGGCGCGAGAATTTCTCCGCGCTGAGTTTTACTCCGACGATATTCCTGAAGGATTTAATATTCAGTCTTTTAAGTTTCTGAAGCTATTGGTTGTTGGGTCGATGATAACAATAATCCGGCTGCCTTAGACACTTCGGATTTCTGGAGACCCCAAAGTTACCGTGTAGAAGAGTTCGCTAAGCGCGTTGGAGATTGTGCAACGCATATTGCGAGGCATTGCTCTGATTTCGCGAGATCCTCGGGAGGCTGGGTCTACCTTGGAGACCTGGTTGAGAAGATGACCGCGGACGGATTTGAATATCAGACATATGCACTTGCTGCGCACGGCCTAGCCGCGCTGCAGCAGGGAACTGCGGAGGTCCTCCGTGTGCTCCCTGAGGACAGTGCCAGCACCAGTGAGACGACCGTTTACGGAATGTGGTGCAACTACACAGCATGGCCTTCTCAGGAGGCGGAGAGGGCTACCTCTCCCACTCCTGTTTTCTATCGAGCGTGCCGAGGACATTCCACTGTCGTTGCTTCAATTGAGAGAATGTGCGTGCCCTATGTCCCTGGCCTAGCCAGGTGTCATGGGCCCCATTCTCCATATCACCGATATGGAGACACTGTTGGAATCCATGGTCGGAAAGCGTAATTCCCAAAAAGAGCCTCGGGGCTGTGCCTCGAGGCGGACTACGAATTGCCAAGGCTTCCCCCGACCAAGAAGGATCCCAGAATGCAAGGCAAAGATCATCTCCCTTCGTTGCTAAGCCGGCGGAGGTATGGCGACCCTGCTCCTGTGAGGAAGCACGTGGCCATGAGTAATAGTGCACGGCCTGGAGAGCCACCATCAATCGGAGCATGGCCCGCAGGGGACACAGTCCTTCTGTGGGATCAGCTCCCGACTCACAGGGAGTCTACCTGGCCGTTGATTATTGTTTTCAATGGCAGGGTGCTCGCTCGTTTTTCGCAGCGGATTTGCCAGGGTGGGACTCTTGTGTCCCGCGAGGCGCCGAGGTTCACTGATGATGGCAAAGCCGTCGCCCTGGTCAAAGTCAGCGACTGGTATGATCAAAAGGAAAAGACAATGTCTTGGTCCATTGTTTTCAACCAAGAGTGGACATCGCACGAGGTAGATTTTGATAACACCTCCATGCTCGCTTGGATTCATACTGACGAGACTTTGTCATTAATCCAAGATCATGTGCCTACATTGCCTCCCGAGGCAGCGGCATGTGTTCAGACTGTCCCCTGGGGGGATGATGGTCGGTTCCTTTGTGCTAACTGGCACTGGGTGAGAACTGGCTTTGGACATTGTCCCTTCTGCAACAATCCGATCAAGTACAAATGCAAGGCTGCCCATGACTATTTGCTCCAGACGTACCGACATAAGGTCATTGAGTATCCACTCTCAAGAAATGACATTTTGCTGCATGTTGTTGATCCCGATCAGCTTCCCCACGAGCGTGATCAATATGTCGGAGCACGAGTGAACAGACAACGGAGAGCTTCGGCAGATGTGATATACAACATCAGCAACGATCTGCAGCAGGAGCGCAAGTGGACAACGAATAATCAATATAGGCGCTTGGCTGCTTCAGGTCAAACCTTTGGAAACAGCCGAACAGGTAGTGTTCATGCCTTGATCCCTGACCGCGCCGCGGCCCAGCCGCCGGCGCGTCACGATCCTTCCTTCCAGTACCTCGAGCCTCTGAAGAGGCGATTCATCAAATGGCTCGCACACTTGGCTCAAAGAGAGCAGACCCAAGCCCCAGCGATCGCAGAGTGGTGGCCCTTACTTTGGGCAACAGAAATTGACCAGCATGCGCGTGCCATGTCTTGCCCTGCTCTGGCTGCCTTTGAGTGGCCAGAGGATCCTGACACACGCTTTGAACCAAATGAAGGTTGGTTCGAATGGGAGCGTAACATGGCTAGATCGAACATCTTCGTGCCAACGCTTCGGATATTGCGCGACGCAAAGGATGGGGCAGCACCCTGGCGGCCCACTGATCAGAGCAACGCCATGGGCGTCACGGGGCCCAGCCTGCGTGGACGTCCACCGGTTGCTTGGGCAAATAGTTTTGTGGCGCGCCTTCGTCGCGCTTCCTTGTCCGTCAGCAGGCGCATCAGAATGTGCTCAGAGCACCCTCTCGTTTCAGTGTGTGCGCATGCCAAACCTGCCGCCAGTCCAACCGTGACGGCAGGTGAGGATAATCTACACATGACCCTTGATTTCACCGCAGTCTGCGGGTCCCAGACCGAGCAGATAATTGGCGGGAAAATCACTCTTGACCAGCCCAATGGGCACGTTGATTCCCATCGCGACGACAAATCGTTGAACATCACGTTGACCGAGGACGCAGCCGAAGAAGTGGCCGCTCAATATGTCATGGAACACACCAGTTATCGCCCTGAAGAAACTTACCCTGAAAGGTTACGATTATCGGGCGAAGGAACGCACGAAGTCCCAGAAGATGCGCGTAGCACTATTGACTGGAACTGGAAGGTCCCTGTTCCAGCGCTGGAATTGGGCCTTCGCATTATTCGTGTGATTGTGATTGTTCGCGAGATCATTAGTTGTTTCGTTGCAGAGGGGCACTAGATTGCGTACCCTGGGGCTCACTTTCTTGCCCAAGGCGCCGGCGTAGATTGCAGCGATGATAAGCGTCAAAAGGACGCATGCGCCCTTGATTGCCGCATTCGCGCGGCGATTGAGACAGGCGACCTCGTAGAGGAATGGGCCCGTAATTTGGGTAGACAGGCTCGCGCAGATATCCGTTGTCAGGGCGTGAAGTTACAAGAAGCTATTAATTGGCAAAATCCACATGTGGAAGCCACTGAGCTTCAATACAGAGATGAAGGCCACTTTCGTAGTGCCTGCGGCGCGCTTGGTATTCTTGCCGCGACTGCCGCAAGGGATATCATTAGATTCGCCAGAAAACGAGTGATGACTATTCGTGAGAGAGGAGGCGCCGATGGGCCCCCCGACGACCAAGCCGATACGGAGGGGCCCGCTTTGGCGAAAGCGAGGCCCAGACCGCCACCTCCTCCACGCAGACCCGACGTCCAAGACGATCGGGCGAACGATGAAGTCACGGAATCCCCGTGCTCTGCCGGCGGTCAAACCGGCGCGGCAGGGGATGACTATTCATGGCATTCGTCAGACAGGGACACACGAGATTGGTCGAGGCCTACGCGCGCGCGGCGGAGCCATGGATGTCGGCCGCGGCGTTGCTGGCTACGACCCCTCGAAGCACTACCCGCACTACACCAATGATATGCTGGATGGACACGGGGTTCACCAGGACGTGATATCCTGGGTGGGCCCGAGAGAGAACAAGTCACGAGTGTGGCATGTCGCGCACCTGAACGACTACAACTGGTGCTTTCCGAGGAAAGGGAAGGATTCCAAGAACAAGGACAAGCGCAACAGGCCAGCGACTTACGCTGGCCGCGGCAAGGGATTCAGATCCCGCTCGCCCCACTGGGCCGCGGGCAAGACGGGGGGCTCGTCATCTTCACATCCGAGACCTCCATCACCGCCATCGCGGGGATCTCTTCAGAGCAAGATCTGAGAGAAGGCCGGGCCCGCGCGACCAAGTCGCTGCGGGCTCACCCGATCGACAAAGTCGTATCGACAGAGAGAATTCATTTAGCTATTGGTGGGAATCGTCGGGTTTCTTCGGCCCTCAGCTCCCTGGCAGCCACCGTCGAGCGGTGCAAGTTTTTGGCGGTTCGCTCTGGCGGTTGTATAATATGCACAGGCCAGGGGGGCTGTGGCTGGATGGGCCCTACGAAGCCCGCCGCGGGGGGAGTAAATATGCTCCTCTCCGCCTCATCTTACACTTGCCTCTCTCGCTGCCTTCCTTGCCGCGCCCTGACACTGCGGCTTTGCACCGCAGCTGTTTGTGCTTACGGGAGATAAGAGGAGCGTGCTGGCTCGCACGCGCGCGCCGAGGGGTCGTTCCCTCGTCGTAGTCGTGTCGTCGGCCGGCCGGCCTCCTCCCTTACTACTCCTGAGTGCAATTGCTTAACGGTTACTTGTAGTTTCATCGATGTCTCTTCCCGTATCCTCTACTACTGAGCAGAGTCAACACGAGACCTTAATTCTTTTGTCATATCACCCCGATTCTCAGAGGAAAAACGGATGGGGCTTATCAGAAGGGATCGGCCACTGAAACACCTTGCGCTCCACTCTTCCTATGAGACGCGGGGCCTTCTTAGAGGCTCACCCTGCTCTTTCTTGCGCATCGATGAGCCACTGCCGCCTGCTCACCTGCCCCGGGCATCAAGTCATCGAATGTCCCTCGTCGTCGTCCTCCCTTCAGGCAACGCAGCGTTACCTTTGCAGCTTGGAGGCCCTACAGGGGAGCCGGCGGACCTGACCAGTGTGCTCGCGCAGGGGGCGGAAGAGACCAAGAAGGACTCGCTGTCGAAGTCCGTTGTGGAGCAGAAGAAGGAGGAGGAGGAGGAGGAGGAGGAGGAGGAGGAGGAGGAGGAGGAGGAGGAGGGGTAGGAGGAGGAGGAGAATAATAGGGACAAAGGAGGAGGAGGAGGTCCATTGTACACCCAAGATGCGGCAACGATGTTGCGGTAAGCCCTTTTCATGCCATGCTCCTTCTTAATAAGTCCCTGCAAACGTTTTTTCCGTTGCGGCAATTTGCCCATCAGAAGGCAACCGTTTGCGAATCTTCATTCGTGTCAGAACACCATTGCTCGGGCATCGTCGCCGAGGATGGAAATTGTTTTTGCGTCCTGACAATCGTGGACCATGCTTGAGCATGTGGGAAGCAACTGTACATTTGCGTCCTGACAGCCTTAGATCGTGCAAGATCGGAGTTCCTGAACTTTCACGAGTACGAGTCCTTGACATTCTGGTAAGCTTTGAGACGTAAATGCGTGGCGACAAGGTGATAACCACAGTTTGAAGAGGAACCGCCCTCCATCATTGAAATTGTTGAAACATGTAAAGACGAACGCTCGCGGCGCTGAGGCGAGAACCACATTATGAATGCCACCTGTTTTCTTTCTTTCAGGTTGTTACAATGTTTGAGAAAATGTGCGCGGCGCTAGAACGAAAACCACATTTTGACAACGATTCGCCCTCCATCCTTGAAAAGGACGGCGAACCTTTGAGACGAATGTGCGCGGTGCTAAGGCGAGAGCCACGAAAACGACCCGCCCTCCATTCGTGGAACTGTTGCAAATCCGGATCAACGATGGTGAGGAAGTCGCGGGCGAGACCCCCAGCCCGACCTTCAACATTCCTGGGGGTGAGACAGGGAGGAGTTAGCGATAAGGAAAAGGGATGGAGGAGGAGAGGAGGAAGAGGAGGCAGAGGAGGAGGAGGAGGCACAGAGGACTTGCTCTCGAAATCCCTTGCGGAGTCGATGGGCGAAGGCAGGCGCTCGCCGAAGCGAGCACTCGCCGAGGCGAAGTCGATGGGCAAGCACTCCGCCCTGATGAAAGCCCGGGCCCAGGACTTTGTCCACTGGAAAATGCGTTTTCTCCTCCTGCATTCGATGCCCAGACGATTTGTCGGGAGAAGGGAACATATCTACACTAATGTGTGTGTTATGTGTATAGTCTGTAGTTCTGTGCATGCGTATGTCTTGTATATATATATGCACTATATATATATGTTGGTGTACCTGTACACATGTACATTAATTTATACATCGACTTATTCACGGGGGGCTCCAAACCCTTCCGTGCCCACCAACACCGACAAAGTTTGCATGCCGTGTTCCGGCGCCAAGCCAGCAGAAGGTTGGCGGATGTTGGCGGAAGTAAGCAAATAAACGTTTTGGGTCTGAGGGCAGAATCAGGCCCAAGAGTCGAATTCTGGCAACAGCAAGATCGCGAACAGGTGCACTTGTGGCTCTGGACGTTCAACATGGGTTGGAGTTTTGTCAACGCGGGGATCACGATTTATCCGACATTTGGACTAAGACGCGCAAACAGAGACCCGGGAGAGGAATTTGGCAATACCCAGAGTTGTGCTCGGACGATGCGAAGAGTCTGGAAATGAATCTTTGGCAGCACGAAGACCCTCATCCGGATAATCGGCATCAGGCCCAGTCCCTTCGGATTCTTGTGACCATGCTTGGGCCCACCAGAAAAGGCTCTGACGCCTCACCAGAAGGTCCGCGGAAGCGACGGTTGCCATGGCCACTCCCTCCCTTTTCTCTCTTTCCTGTGGTGATCGGCATATGGAAGCATCGGAATTCAAAGGGTCGCCTCTTGGGGCTTTCTTGGGGCGCTCCTGGGGCACGTTTGGTAGGCAGCCCGATGGGGAAGTTCCTTCTGTTTAAGATTTGCCCCCTCAAAAAACTCGCCCCCCACAAAAAAGAATGTGTTGTTTTTCTTCTTTTTGTGTTTGTGCTGCTCTTGTTTTGTCGCTCTGAAAGTCGCGTCGCACATGGCAAATTCACACTTCGGCTTAGCAAAATCAGCAGTATCGAGGACAACACGTAAGCATTGACAACGCGTAGGACAACACAGTATCGATAATAACACGAAGGAGCTGGACAACACACAAGTGACAAGAGCAACACGTAGGACAACATAGCCTCGACAACAACCCACCTTGGAAAAGACGAATCTCGATTGGGGTGGGTTCTATAGGGGCAACGTCGGAACTCGACGGGGGCTGACCCGCGCGTCTTTGTCGCATCCTCCGGGAGCAATGTGTGCTCAAGCAGTGTTCGGGACCGACCAACTAGTCGTGGCTGGAAACGCCCCAGAGCCCGATCCTGCGCTGCGGCGCAGGGCGCGACGACCGGGAGAAGCCAGAGTTAGAGGATATTTTTTGGCATGGCTGTTTTCTCGAGGCTTTCTCGATAACGAGGCCGGCGCCGACTCCGAGGATCAGGGCATTAGGGCGCACGGCCTGGCATCTATGAGGTGGGAGTTTCGGGACTTCTCGGAAAATGGCTTGTGTTTGGCTCGTGCGCTGGTTTGTTTCCCCATGGGTGCGTGCACGGACTCACTTGTTGGGTTTCTGTGTTATTATGTCGAGCAGATTGAGCGTTTATAGGGCTCCCGCCATGGTGAATGCAACCCAGCAGTTGTAGCAAAAATAGCCGCAATGACGGAACGTTTGATGGTGCTTTTCTCCAACCATGTGGACGTTCAGCAACAGGTTTTCTTAGCGGCGGCGGGCGCGTGCCAGCCGCCATGTATTTGCCACCGCACGTAGCTCGGACAGTGTTGCATGGAAGCAGGAATGTTGTTCGACTAGTTTGAGTCCCCCGGCTTTGAGGGGCATGCGATGCACGTCAGTGATTTGCGATGTCCCGACGCGTCGAGCAATCATGAACTTGTCCATGGGTAAAACTTCATCGGGCGCAGTGGGGTGTGTTCCAGACAGTTCAGACGTCGTTGTTGCTCAGTTTGGCCTAAAATTTTCTCGAGATAGACAATCGCCCGAGATTGCGAGACCAGCCGAGACGTGGTTGCGTTGTTTTGCGCAGAGGTTACCAGACACGAGCGGGAGTTGGGATGATTAAAGCCATCGGTTTCAGCAGACACCTGAGGGCCCAGGCAAATTTCTTCGAAGCTTTGCAGGATGCAAATTTCTTTTATCTCGAGGCGCAAGGAGCTGGGGATGACGATGGGGGTGAAGTGTTTCTCGCGAAATATGAGACCAGGTGACAAGGCCTTGAGGTGTGCCATCGTGCGATTCGATGTCGTATGCGTGCTCATTCATCGGCGGGAGTTTCTGCAGGCCATGGATCGCATCGTGAGCATCCACATTTTTTCCGACGCCAGCGATTGCTTTGGTTGCGGGCTTCGCATACGACCACGGCACCTTTGAGCGTGTACCCTGCATGGGTGCTCAGCGGCGCATGGCTTCATATCTCGGCTCGACAAGGCGCTTGCTTTCCTTTTGGGTCGTGTTCTTAATATGTGGGCCAACGGTTGATGCCGTGCGGAGTTTCCTGTCCAAGGTGCGATCGACGACGACCGACATGGGCGTGGAGCTCTATCTGGTCGGTCGCGTGGACGTCCTAGACGTTTCCCACGTGCGGTTGGCTGGGCATCCTGTGCTCGCGCTGGGCGGACGCGTCGACAGAGGTTCTCGGCTGCTGCCCGGCGCGATTCGCATTTCGGTGCGGAACCGCATTTGCAGCAACATGATTAAAAAATCTGTGCATGCCGCGGAGAAGTGGCCGCAGAGGGGCAGCGCGATTCGGGGGTTTCGCCTGTGTTTTCGCAATTCTTCTCATCGGGTCCACGTGGTCTGGGGGCTGAAGCACCGCGCCCCTGGCGCCTGCGAGTTGCTGAAGAGTCTCGCAGCGTCGCTCGCAAAATGGCGGCTCGGGGCTTCGCACGTTGCGTTGCCGCAGCTGCTGAAGTTGAGGGCGTTGTGCTGGGGGGGCCTCGACGAACCGCTGTTCGAGAAGGTCGGCGGCGAGGGCTGCGCGAAACAGTTTCTCGATGCATGTCGGAACGGAGAGCTCCGGGCATTCGTGTCTGCGCCTTTTCAAGTATGTGATTGGCCCGCTTGAGAAGAGGCGGCGTTGGGGGTGGGGGCGCGCCCGTCACGAGGCTAAGCGGGCGCTAGGCAAGCACCCCGAGTGCTCGAAGGCTGGGCGGCGTCTGGGCGAAGCTGTCAGATGCATAGCTGCCCACGAGGATGCCTTGCGCGCGCAGATGCAAGCCGCTCATTTGGATGGCCGCGAGGGCTTGGGCGACATGGAGTTGCTTGTCGTTCACGTGCTTCGCAATGCCCTCGGCGATGTCCAGACGCTGAGGTATTTGGAGCTCGCGCCGCGGCGCATCGCAATGGCGGGCTCCCCAGGCGACGCCCGCGAAGCACTCCGCCAAGTCGATCTTCGGCAATCGGAGGACCGCGACCCAGTAAGTCGGCAGATGCCCCATGCTTTGGGCAATGACTTGGGGGCCTTCGCCGATGGTGCCCCCTGCTCGCCAGCGCGGGCTGCAGAGTTGCGTGCCCTCCGAAATTGCCCGCTCGATGAGTCCCCAGGGGAAGGTTGGCGCAGGCGCGCGGACTACGCGATGCGTCGGGCAACGCGCGCGGGGCTACTGCACATCGAGGCGCCCATCGGGCTGAAAGGGGAAGTTGGCCAATGTGAAGCAGGTCGTGCAGAAGAATACATGCTGTGCGGGCCGTCGCGGGGTGCGAGTGGCGCCGTCTCGAGAGAATGCTGCAGGTGCACGCGGGGGGGGGGGGGGGGGCGAAGCGAAATGCTCGGCGTGGATCGACGGGGGTCTTCCACGAGGCTTGCCCGACTGACGGGGCAGTGACCGACGACTGGAGCAGTTCGTTGGAAGTGTCGGTTGCGTCTCTTGCGGCGCCTGTCGTTGTGCCCGCGATTGGCGCCGAGTTGATTCGCGGCGAGTTGGCGCTCGCCGCGCTCGCGCCGGGCGCGGTGTTCAGCGCGCCCGCGGTCCAAACAGATATCGCGCAGGACGGTGGCGCCGCGGAGGTCGCCTCCGCGAGATTTTCCCAGGTCGCTCGGGATTCCGCGGGCAAATCGCGCCCCCACCTTGCGCCCGCGGTGGAGGATTGCAGTGTCTTTGGCTGCCCGCGCAAAGCCTGGCATCTTCTTAATGGATGCAGCGTGCCCGACACGTTGCATCTGCGAGGAGTTGCGTCGCAGAGGTTGGGTCCACAACAACTACCTGGCAGCGCGTGCACTTGTCGATGATCGGCGAGAGCATGGCGGCAGATCTGCCACGTCACGAAAAGCCCATTTCCAGCGTTTGCGACCTATGCCAGAAGTGCGAGGCACACGCGGCCCAGGGGGCTTCCGTCTGACCAGCCATTTCTTTGTAATAAGTTTCTTCTTGCGGGTAAGGCCGCGGCCCCAGTTGTCGGCAATGCCCGATGCAAGCAGCTGCGGTGCGAGCTCAAAGGGGCCGATCCCAAGCCCGACCTGCCCGCGCTCCCCGATCTCCCCGACGTCGTCGTCGCTGGGGCGGGAGCGGTCGCCGGCGCGGCCGCTAGAGGCGGCCGCGCCCTTCCCCTCGGAGGCGGCCGTGGTCGCGTCGCCCCCCCTGCAGGCGGTGATGGGCCGATTCTGGGGCCCCCCCCGCCTCCGCCCGATCCGCCGACGCCGCCGCCGCCCGAACCGCCGGCGCCGGACCCCGTCGCGGCGCCAGGAGGCGCGGCCGTTGCCGGCGGGGGGGGGGGGCGAGGAGGGCGCCCCGCCAGACGCTGCCGCGGCCCTGGTCGCTCGCGAATGGGAACCAGCGGTTGGCGGCGGCGAGATCTGTTTGAATGGTTGCGCGCCGCCTGGCGGGGCCCTTTACTCCGATTGGATTTTCAGCTGCAGCCGCCGCCCAGGCTGCGTCGAGGAGAGAAACGCTAGCGCTGGAAATGTGCGAACGCGGGGCCCTGCCGAGGTCCCAGCTTCTTTGGATTGCTGGCGCGACGCAGTGGTCCAGCCTGGCCAGCGGCGTGGCGAGGTTGGCCCTTCCGACGGGGCGCCGCTGCGCG